CCAAATGTTCTATGAGCCAACATGACAAGATTTTGTTGAACTATCCTTGTGCCTGGAGCAATATCTGATTGCCTCTCTTTTTTTCTTCTCACTGGGTGTGTGTCTTTTCAAACTGATTCTCAGTAGGTTGTTCTTTGTCCTTCTCTCTAACCTTTCTAAGTATTTCTCTGTCTCTTCTGATAAATGTTTACAATTCCTTCCATTTCAGTATCTACAAAGCACTAGCGGAGATGTAAAATGATGATGTATTTGCTTTTACATTTACCTCACTCAACTTCTACCTCTTTTTATTACCCCTTCTTTCTAGTCCTTTGCCTTACATCTGTGTATCAGTGTTGAAAGCCAAAGCTACAGGGAAGAGTACAAAAAAGAAAAGATAAATAAGAGATATAAAAGAGAGAAGACTTCTGATTTACCTGCAGTTCTCCTTCCATTATACTGAGGAGCTTGATCAAGTCCTCCTTAGAAAGTTCAATTGATTTCTTCTTCTTCCGTTCACTGGAACCAGGTGATTTTGAGTGTCTTTTGACAGTTGCTGATACCATAACTTCATCTTCCTTCCGATTGGACTTGTTCTTTTTCCTGGCATCTTCCTGAAAACTTTCATTCTCTGCATTGTTAATGACAGGCTTAGAACTGGAATAATGCCCACTGGATGAGCTTTCCCCACCTTGGTTTCGGGATCTCATCCCTACCTGGACAAAGGAAAAGATAAAAAATAATTTTAATCAAGCAAACTTATCAAAAAGAAAAAAACATTCTACATCAGCATTTTAATCAAAAGCTTACTACACATTGTAAATACCAAGACTAACATCATGCTCATTTAAAAAGTGCTGAAAAGGAACATGCATTTCAACAAGGTTGTCTTTGGCAGCCAGCTAATCAAAAATATTGATACTTCAATACTGCCTTAAAGCATGGTAACCATACTTGTCAGGCTGCCAATACTGAAGTAAGCCACAATAGGCATGTTTACACAAGATGCATAATGCACAGTAGCCTAATAACACTGCATAGTAGCGTGTAGCCTAACTACACTGTGCAGTAGTGTGCTGGGCAAAAACCATGTTAAAATGCTACTGCACAGTAGTATTAGGTTACTGAGCAGTAAGTATCACCTAAACAATGTGCTACTGTGCAGTAACTGTAGTTACCGTGGATTTGTTTAGTACTTGCTTAATGCTGTACTAAACTAAATACACAGTAGTTACTGCACATTAATTAACTTGTAGACGCGCCCAATGTGTAGCACTTGAAACTTGATGCTATTTTATCAGTCAGAATTTGGATTGCTCATAATGCTCACAAAATGAGAGCATCGGGTTTTGAAATAGCTTTTATTTTAACGTGAGAAATAGCGGAGAGACAATAATGTAATTAAGGTATATACAAGCATATACCTTAGCATAACTTTTCTGAGAGGGATTGTCATGAACCAGGATAATTCCCTAGTTTATCATTTGTGAAGGACTAGATTCAACTTTGGCAATTACGATAACCCTCTTATCCAAACTTTTTTCATCATTTCTAATCTTGATTTTTGAAAAACCCATGTCACCATCATCCCTAACACCTGCATAGCCCTCTTTAATTCATGCAAAAGACAACTGTTAAAATAATCTCTTTTGTGTACCACTTGGATCCCAGAATCTCCCTATTTGAATCATTCTATTCCATCTAATAACATCCAGTCGAAGTGTGCATGCCCTTTCACAGCATCAGAAGAAGTGAGCTCAGGCTCATGAAAGCTCATGCTGTATACCTTTGATTTAGTTAATTTAAAATGTGCAAATACACCCTGCCTTGCCCTCCTCTGCCAACTTTTTCAGTCTTGCTCTGCTCATACCATGTTGCCTCCCATGCTGCTTTCCCTGAAACTTTTTCTCTAGGTGCAGCTTATTCAGTGGCTATGGGATGTCAGTGAGGTAATGCCTTGCAGGGTATGAGAGATTAGTTGCTAGTTCTTGTATTAGTTATCATAATAAACATCAGACTTTGCAAACACATACTCAAGGGTACATATATTTAGACCTGTACTAATCCTTGCATGCTTTGTATGTCCCTTACTACCAGTAAGTCTGGTATTAACTCCAAGGACAGGAATGACATCTTTATATGTATTTGCACAGTGCTTAGCACAAGTCCCTAACTATTATTTGAACACTGGACAGTAGTTTTGTATAGCTAAAAGTAGTAATAATGAATTTGGAAACTGGCTTCAGGGCCAAATCCAGAAGTAATGAGTAAAGCAGTACAATCTGAGCTCCCTTACATTAATTTACTCTTCTTAAACCTCAG